CCCGCGTCTCCTGCATCGGCAGGCGGACTCTCAAGCACTGCGCCACCAGGGAAGCCCCTTTCACATATATTTTTATATTTTCTCAATGCATAGTCACATCTATTCTATCTTAAAAATGTACCAAAAATTCAGGTACACGCTGTAAGTTACATATCAATTGTAATTTGGTGCCATAAATTGCATGTAATTTCAAAAATGCATACCACAACATATATACACTACCAAATTTAAAATAGATAGCTAGTGGAAAGCAGCCGCATAGCCCAGGGAGATCAGCTCGGTGCTTTGTGACCACTTAGAGGGATGGGATAGGGAGGGTGGGAGGGAGACGCAAGAGGGAGGAGATATGGGGATATATGTATATGTATAGCTGATTCACTTTGCTATAAAGCAGAAACTAACACACCATTGTAAAGCAATTATACTCCAATAAAGATGTTAAAGAAATTAAAAAAAAAATGCATACCACAAATGTGTTAAGAAGGTTATGTGGCTAAGTTCCTACAGAAACTGTAGTTAACATTTCCAAGAAAGTATGATACTTATTATGTTTCATATAACTTTCCAAAAGGGCATTACTTTATTTATTTTTTTAGTGTGGAACAACTTCACTTGATTCTGAACAACTTTAGTAAACAAAAAGTTGTGAAAATTTAGGTTCAGTTCTGTTTTAAGAGGTTGGTTTTATATGATGAATATTTACCCTCAAGTAGTTTATATGTACATATTTTTCTAGATTTGTGAAGTGAATCAGGAAGAATATGTTCCATTACCTAGGAGTGCTCTTGAGATGAGCCAAGCTTTTTTTTTCTTTCCACAGGATATTCAGGCTTGGGAGTCAATGTAGTTTGACATGTTTACATCTACTACAGCCTAGGTGGTGCCTAGGCAGTTGGGGATGTGACATCTATCAAGATTACTGCACGGAAAAGTGTAGGACCTGCCGTGAGCACAGGGTGCCCTTAAGGGCTTCTCCTGACTCACCCTGGAATGCCTTCCTCTAACATCTGTTTTTTATTTCTTAGAAGCTGCTATTCCATTCAACTGCAAAAATACTTGCATTGACCCTAGAAACAGAATGGAAAACTAGAAGGAAACAGATTTCTGTAAAACAGTTACTT